CATATTAGGGAACAAATAGTAGTCCGACGGAGTTAAGTCTGGAGAATAGGGGGGATGTGAAACGAGTTGGAATCCTATCTCCATCCGTTTTGCGGCTACAATTGCTAAGGCGTGAGCTGGCGCATTGTCGTGGTGGAAGAGGACTTTTTTGTGGGCCAATCGTGGACGTTTCTCTAGCAACTCGGTTTTCAAACGATTCAATAACGATGAATAATATTCGCCTTTAATGATTTTACCCTTTTCCAGATAGTCGATGAAGATTATTCCTTGCGAATCCCAAAAGACAGTCGCCATAACCTTCCCGGACGAAGGAATTGTCTTCGCCTTTTTCGGAGCAGATTCCCCTTTGGTAACCCGTTGTTTAGACTGTTCTTTGGCCTCAGGAGTGTAGTAATGTATCCATGTTTCATCTACAGTGATGAAACGACGTTTGAAGTCTTGCGGATTTTCGTGGAACAGCTGCAAACCATTCTTGCAACACTTCACACGATCTCGTTTTTGGTCAATCGTGAGCAATCGCGGCACCCATCTAGCGGATAGCTTTTTCATGTTCAAATGATGGTGCAAAATATTATGTACCCATTCCCTTGAGATGCTTACAGTACTAGCAATCTCATGCACCTTCACTCTTCTGTCAGCCATCACCATATCATGGATTTTATCAATGATTTCTGAAGTGGTAACCTCAACACGGCGTCCACAACGTTCAGCGTCTTTTGTGCTCATATGGCCACTCCGAAAATTTTGAAACCACTTATAAACCATTCTAATTGAAGGTATACAATCACCATAATGTTTATCAAGCTTCTGTTTAATATCCTGAGGCGTTTTGCCTTTGAAAAAGTAATGTTTAATCAATACAAGAAATTCTTTTTCGTCCATTTTTTTACAACCACTCGATTTCTTTGATTGAAACGAATGTAAAAGGCAAAGTAATTGGCCAATCTGGCTGAAACTTGGTGTGTGCTCTTCCAAGATATGCTACTAACTGAAAATAACCTTGATACGCACTAGTAGGGCCATCTCTCTGACTTTGCACGGACTTTTCAAACGACCCTCGTATGAAAAGGGCCCGGGCGATGAGCAATTGTCAAATTTTACTTCCTATCTAAATGAAAAGCTAAGTAGCTTGCTTCGCTATTAATTGAACTCTTAGCTAAATTAACACTCACTCAGACTTCGAAATAGTTTGATTCGCCTACGGTAAATCGGACATTCAATGATCTTTCGGTCAGTGATTCTTTAGCACTGTAAATTTACTCGGTGATAACATGAACGCGAAATATTGATGTTTCCATACCTCGTTGTACGAGGTGTGATCAAAAAGTAAGGTGAATTTTTATTTTTCTCAAAAAATATTTATTTATTCATCAATTTTTATTTTATCTCCTTCAAAGTAATCCCCCTCGGATATAATGCACTTGTGCCAACGCTTTTTCCAATCCTCAAAGCATTTCAAAAAATCATTTTTTGTGATCTTGTTTAGTTCATCCTTCGATGCCGTCTTTATCTCCTCAATCGTGGCAAAACGCCGTCCTTTCATGGGCCTCTTCAGTTTTGGGAACAAGAAGAAGTCACAGGGGGCCAGATCTGGGGAATACGGTGCCTGTGGCATCGTTACTGTGTTGGTTTTAGCCAAAAATTCGCGCACAAGCAACGATGTGTGAGCAGGGGCGTTATCATGGTGCAAAAGCCAATTTTTATTTTTCCACAAATTCGGACGTTTCTGGCGGATTGCTTCGCGCAAATTGCGCATAACTTGCAGGTAATATTCCTTATTTACTGTTCTACCCTGTGGCAAGAAGTCATGATGCACCACGCCCCTGCAGTCAAAGAAAACTGTAAGCAAAACCTTTACATTTGATCGAACTTGGCGTGCTTTTTTTGGTCTTGGTGATCCAGAATGCCTCCACTGGGACGATTGAGTCTTAGTCTCGACGTCATAACCGTATACCCATGTTTCGTCACCTGTTATAACCCTGTTGAGTAAATCTGGATCATCGTTGACGTCATTCAGTAGCTCTTGGGCGATGCTCATGCGACGTTTCTTTTGGTCGAAATTGAGCAATTTCGGAACAAACTTCGCTGACACACGCCTCATGTCTAAAACACTCGTCAAAATTGATTGGCACGAACCAAATGAGATGCCAATATCATCAGCAATTTCTCTAATGATAATTCGACGATTTCCCAACACTATTTTCTTCACTTCTTCAACATTCTCATCAGTTGTTGATGTGCTGGGGCGTCCAGAACGAGGTTCGTCGTCGGTGTCTTCTCGGCCTTCTTGGAAGAGTTTATACCACTTGTAAACATTTTTTTGGCTTAAAGTAGACTCGCCGTATGCCACTTTCAGCATTTCAAGTGTTTTGGAACATTTGATTCCATTTTTCACACAAAATTTAATGCAAACTCTATGATCCATGTTTTTAGACAGCAGCAAATCGTGGAGCACGCAAAACACTTCTAACCTTGATGCCTCTCACAAACAAACCAAACATACTACAAAGCTGAAATTTGGAACGTATGTTCTAGATTAGTGTACCGACATAACCAAATAAAAAAGTCGAAGATCGAACGGGCGTAGCCCGCTAAATTTCAAAATTCATCTTACTTTTTGATCACACCTCGTATTGTGCGTTTATAAGTATGAACGAAGTTATGAAAATGGAATAAATGAAATTGACATCAATTTCCTAGTTTACTTGTCCTCGTACTATGTTGCTAACTAATGATTGACAAGTAAACGGTACAACCTTACTTTTACAAAAATTTTATTTACTAACTGATGATAAAAAAATATCAAAGACTATACGAACTCTCAAAAACCAAGCTAGTGACGATGATATGATTTGTACAAGAATATTCAAAGCAGTATCCATACACAAGTTTTCCATTAGATTACCTTTTCACAATCTATATTGTAACAATATATGTATCGTGGCCTGCTAGTTAAGCGCCTTGCGATGATTGGCCGATATCAACAATTCGGCGGATTAGGCTGGAACGTGGGAGTTGAGGATATAAGTTGCTTGAGCGAGAGTATCACGCAGGTCGTCGAGCCGAGAGAATCGCAAGGTCGGCTTTCTGCCCGCTCTTCGGCAATACCGAAGGCCCTGCTTTGGTATTTCACCTGAACGCCCAGGAATAAAGAAGAGCGCAAGATCGCCAAGCTGCACATTATTATAGGGGTGGCAGTTCCAGTCGCTGTGCAGCAAAGAGAAGATCGTCAAGCTGTACGCCGTTGTAAGGGGAGCAGCTCCAGTCGCTAGACATCAACTAGAACATCAGGGCTACGTTTCTATATTGGCAACTAAAATTTAAAAGATTTAAACCCAGTGGATTTAAACCCAGTGGTTAGCGCTATTGTGAGAATGTAAATACGTGGGATCGAGACGGTATGAAACGATGCATGAGACGACGCATCCAACGCCCACGACTTCAAGTTCCGCGACTTTAGAAAATTTTACAAGATAAGCGGTTTCGAATAAATGTGTACGGACAAATAACATTATTATAATTATAATTGTATGTACAGTAATAAATATGTGCGCGGAAAATTCGAATCTAGCGTCCGAAAACATAATCATTCCCCTTAGCATAGATTGAATATTTACAATGTACTTAAAAGCAATTTGGCCTGCCTGTTGGAAACAGCAGAAATAATATCAATATAAAAATCAGGAGGAACGTCGTTGCTGACAATCTGTAAAACAACATCTCTAATTATAAATATGGCAAAGATTTTTGGAAAATTGTTTCACAGGAGATTGTTTAAATACCTATCAAAATATATTTTAGTTAACAAATAGTTTAGTTTTTAGAAGTAAATAGTAACCAAAGATGTATTAACTTATGTAATAAATCAAAGAATATTGATTGAAGAGAATCAAAAAATCTTTTTCTCAAAAATTAAAAAATTTCTAAAATCGATAAATCCATCTACAATAATTTGTTATTAAAATAAGTAACGCTGATTATCAGTAATATTTAGTTGCCACTAGTCAAGTTAATTATACAGTTGCAACTAAATATTACACATTCGTAATACGATAATACGACGATATACTAACTCTCACTTGTCAATCCATTGACATGAATTTATAAACGAATTGGTTAATATCATCAAAGTGGCATGGCATGGTGAACATATGGTTACGTGTCATTGTACACGACTACCAATAATGATTCCACCATTCTGCTTCAAAACAGATGAAGGATAATTAATCATGCTCCAAAAACTGCTCCAAAAATAGACCCTTGAGTCCTGCTGACAAAGTCGAAATTTGTAGATGTAATAAATCAATTCGTGATATGCCATCTCACTTTATCGTCCTCGCGGCCAAGATTGGGCAGTATGGCTAAAAAAGATATGGTGAAGATAGCCGCAGAGTGAAAGAGAATGCTATGCTCGAGCGGCTGCCCGGAAGAATCATTGGCGCAAAACAGTCAGACATTCAATTTTTTATGTCACATGTTACAATATATTGAAAATAAATTTATATAGAATACAAAACATTCATTTTTTTGACGTCTGCAAAATTGACATCGACGATGCATCATATGCTTATATAGAATTATTATCATAATGAAAAATTATTTTATGGTTCAAAACCTAGTTTAAGCATACCTAAACTAAGATAATTCATTTCAAAGTCGTAGCACTTATCACTTGTTATGCGACAGTATTACTTCAGAATTAATTTGAAAATATATTGCACAAATTTTCAAATGAATATGTTAGAGTTATTGGAATTTCGAAGTAACGCGAAAGAAGATTGCTTTATTTTGTAATGTATAATATTCTAATCTCATTTTATTTTCCAAAATAAATTTGACCTTGTCTTTTTTAGTATGTAAAATGTCTTTTCTTCCAATTTCTAAATATTAGATGGCTCTTATTTTGAGACAATTTTGATATCAAATCTACAAGATATAAAAATACTAGAATATTGTAAAAATATTTACAATTTAGATACATATGCATTGATTGTTGACAGGCTCGCTTGATGGTGATCCGGAAACACGAGATAGTCAAACAGAGAACAAAAGTCCAGACGGTGGCGCGGGTGGTGGCGGTGGTGACGGGGGCGCAGGCTCAAAGCGTCGTGGACCGCGTACTACTATCAAGGCTAAACAACTGGAAATATTAAAGACAGCCTTCTCACAGACGCCCAAGCCTACGAGGCACATCCGAGAGCAACTAGCCAAGGAGACCGGGCTTCCTATGAGGGTCATTCAAGTCTGGTTTCAGAATAAGCGTAGCAAGGAGCGCCGTCTCAAGCAGCTTACCTCCATGGGCAGGAGTCCGTTCTTCGGGGGTTCGCGCAAGATGCGTGGCTTCCCGCTAAATCTCAACCACGCGGGCCTCGGCACAGAAGACGGACCACCACCGGGCTTTCCCTACTTTGCCGACAAATTTGATTTTGGTTACGCGGGTCCCGTGGCTTTTCACCATGAGTTTTTTGCTACTCAGCATCCAACACCTCACCCTCATGGACCATCCTTTCCTCAAGGTCCACCAAATCCCGGTCAGTAATTATCAGTCAGTCGTATTTTGCTTGCTTGCTTAGTTGCATGCGTTGCTTTAAATTTAGTATATTAAGTTTTAAGTTTGTTTATGTGGGTCTGGGTATGTTACCGTAGGTCTTGACCCTACGAGTATAGCAGGTATGGCGGCGGCAGCAGCAGTTGCGGGTGAGTACCCGCCACCCGGAGCCGGGCCTCCGGAATTTCTCGGAGGGCCTCCTGCACAAGGACCCCCATTGCCCTCGGCTGGTAGCCCCGGGGAGTTCCTTACGCCCGCAGGTAATTAACTATGCTCAATGACTCTTCGCTACTTTACTATGTTTCTTTCATTAGCATATTTGGCAAATCATTGATCTTGATGACGCAATGAGCTTACGCCTTACTTTTATAAATTTTGCGGTTTCTTTCTTACTTACTATATGTCTTGAGCACTAATTATCACCATCGCCCTACAATTATGGACATTTAACTACTTCAACTTACTCACTTGAAGAATAGGCTTTGTTTTCATGAAAATAATACAGCATCTATATCATACAGATATCAGTTAAACTATAAATATTTCAAGCATAAAACATCAAACAACGTACTACTGTGGGCAAAAAGTAAGGTGAATTTGTTTGTAAAATGAAAAATCTTTATTTATTCTTCTACATCAATGTCATCCCCTTCGAAGTAATCCTCTCCCGATAAAATACACTTATGCCAACGTTTTTTCCAATCCTTGAAACATGCCAAATAGTCCCTTTCCGGTATAGCCATCAGCGCCTTCTTCGATTCAGCTCTTATCTCCTCAATCGACTCGAAACGCGTTCCCCGGAGTAGTCTCTTGAGTTTTGGGAATAGCCAGAAGTCACACGGAGCCAAATCAGGCGAATACGGTGGTTGCGGAACGATATGCGTCGAATTTTTGGCGAATTTTTTGCAAGAAAGTGAGCGTTTTCGGTACTAAACGAGATTTTACTTTTCGTAGGCTCAAATGGTCTTTCAAAATTGTTTTCACAGATCCTTCTGATATTCCGATCATATCAGTAAGGTCTCTAACAGTCAACCGACGATTTTCGAGCACTAATTCCTTCACTTTATTGACGTGTTGGTCATCTGTTGACGTCGATGGTCGTCCGGAGCGCTCCAAGTCATCAACACGTTCTCGACCCTCTTTGAAGTCTTTGTACCACTTATAAACATTTTTCTGCGACATGGTAGAATCACAAAAGGCCTTCCGCAACATCCTCAACGTTTCCGCAGCCGAAATTTCATTCCGCAAACAAAATTTGATGGCACTTCTTTGCTCAATTAAATCAGACATTGTAAAAATCGAAACATGCACTCTTGGTCGTTTGGTAAACACAAGCGTAAATATATTACTGATGATGACATTGACATGAAATTTGTCCCAGATGTCATTCGCAGTCCTACCAACTCAAGAAAAAAAGAACTAGCCCGAAATGTTAAGCCCGCGAAGTTTAAATTGAAAATTCACCTTACTTTTTGCCCACAGTAGTATACTATACTAGTCCAAGGCAATATTTTTGTTAATGTTTGTGGTTATATTTTTATATACCGCCAGAACTAATGCACATGCGCGATGAAATCTTTGGTAAATATTATTTTCAACCATTTTTTCCAGTACTCGATAATATAAATAGCGTGTCAATCAGTATTCCGAAACTATCTTTTGCAAAATTATTTGCTATTTTATTTTCGTGCCGATCAATCGAATGTACTGTTGCAGCTTAACTGTATATACTAGTGTATTATGACACCGTTACATCATTTCTTAGAGTCAAAATTGCGCAATAAGTTTTTACATTTTTCATAACTTACTAACGCAATTGCATAAAAATATATAAGCATATCTTAAAGCCTGCCAAAGTAGTAGGCATCTTTATAAAAATATTATGTATAATAAGAATCCAAAAATGGATAACCCATTCGCGACGCAATCCGACAATTGTGTTGAAAACGGAAAGTAATGCTCGCTAATGAATAGTAAATAATGAAATATGATTGAAGAAAATCAACCTAACAAGCTTGTGAGGTTTTTTAATAATATTTCTTATGATATTCCGTAGTGTAAGTTTTGTTAAGTATGCATGACAATGTCGTCAGAAATACAGTTATACTGTATATCTCGAGTATTTGTTTCACAAAAAACTTATTTGTAGAAGTAGCTATTGTTAAACAACATTATTAACCGCTATCTTCATTTCCTTTGTTCAGGTGGCGGGCAATCAAATTCCAGCGGAGGCGGCAATACAGGTGGTCCAGGAAGTGTAGGAGGAGGTACCGGGTTCCCCGAGCAACATCAGATGCAACAGAGTGAAGGCCTCGTATGGTAGGAGACCAAACGTTCGTCCTCACGTTGGTGCTCTCATTTTTTTCTCGTCTATTTCTATCAGATTTTTTGCTTGGTTCACACATCAGCCCTTTTTTGCTGGTTCACTCATAAGCTTGTCTTATCAAGAAAAATAAAAGAAAATAGAGAATGATTACGCTGCAATAGAACCAAGAAAAAATAAGAAATGATAGAAAGAATAGGAAATGCGATTATTTAGCTCTGCACCGAGAAAAAATTATAGGAACAGTTGCTATATAAAAGGTAGAAATTACTATAATTTTGAACTATTTCAGTAACGCTAAATATGTTACTCATGTACAGCAGGAAAATTTGTTAATATAGTATAACTCACTATTTTTAACCACTTTACTATATTCCGGTTTATTCTATGCTGCGTGGTAAAGTTGAATATCATATTTTTTCTCGGTGTCTTATCGTTGTATCACAGTCCAAAAATATTGCAATAAAAGATGTCGCCTACTTAATTTATTCGCATACTCTTTCCCATGTTCGTTATTACAGTAATAATAATGATGATATTAATTAAATTATTATTATTATTATTATTATTATTATTATTATTATTATTATTATTATTATTATTATTATTATTATTATTATTAATATTATTATTATTGGTTAATTTGGATTACTCTTTTAGGAACTATGCAAATCAGTTTCAATTATTTTTATACCTGATTGCAAGTTACAAATTTTCATTATTATTATTTTTATCACCATTATTAATATTGTTATTATTATTATAATTTTTTAAATTAGTACTGTGTACAGAATATTCATGTCTAACATGTAAAGTTTTTCCTTTCGAATTTTACTAGAATGAAATATAAAAAGTGTACCCTAAATGGAAAGGCGTTGTGTGAATGTATAATAAACAAGAATATTGTTGAGAGAATAAGTAATAAGTTTTGCAGTTCAAATAAAACTACACATGTTCATACCTATCTTGTCATACGTTTTGTTGAAAAAATTCGATAAAAATTAGTTAGGATTCTAAAGAAATTATTATTGACGAAAACAATGATTATGTCGTATTAACTTAATCTTGACTAACCGACATTAGTATGAAAGTATTAAATTATTCATATCAAAATTTTATATCACAAATTTCTTTTTTCGTAAAATATAAACATGAGACGTATTGATATAAGATTATATTTCATGACGTTCATGAAATATAAACTTAAATACGATGGAAAATAAAAAGAAGCACTGGCTGTAATTGTTAAAGTTCAATATTTAGTGTCTTTATCGGATATTAAATACAAGAATCACGCGTGTTTCTAAAAAAATTTTCAATCAAATGGTAAGTGGTCAAAATCAAGCATATACGTGAAAGATCAAGAGAGCTTTATTAAATTAAAAATATGTTACATTCGATACGAACATATGAGAAATTCCATTAAAAAGTATTTTTATTCGTCATCGTTTCATGAAATTTTCATTTTACGGTTTCATATTGTATGCCTTCAATTTAATGATTTTATCATTCAGCAGTGTTATATGGATATCTAAAAATAGTTAGGTCTCTCACCACCCATGCGCATAGTACTCTTTTTTTGCTCGCGGCAGTACTAAACTATTTTCAAGAAAAAACGTGTCCTTTCATGATTTTATACAGTTTTTATGAGTTAATTAAAAAACGAAAAATGAAAATGTTAATTTGCATTAAAATTTTAATTCTAGAGGTCAAGGAATTGGAAACGATGTTTTAGTTTGCTTTTCGCTCAAAATTTTTATCTTTGCAACACTTCATAAACTGATATATTTTCTTAAGCATGTCTGCTATACAATTTTATTGTAATGATGATACGATATACCAAATACTTTTAAGTTTTATCATAGAATTGTAAAGCAGGAAAATTAAGAGCGTATGCGCATTCTTGAAGTTCGATGGAATGACGTTAAATAATTCTACTTTTCATGGAATTCCAGAAATAATTTACAGATACAGGTTTTTATGACTTGCCACATTTATCACATGTGTACGGTCGTGAATTTCTTAAATAATGAAGATAATTAAACGAGTAAGTGAAATGTACATGTATAAATAGAGCACGTAAGAACTATTTGTTAAATCAGCGATGAATGTATATATATATATGTGAAACCGATATAAAACTTACAGTTAGATAATAAGTAAATGATAAATGATGCAAAGCGATCGTTCAATGCATTATATCTATTCGAAAAAAAACAAATGTGATTGCGACAAAAAGAATTTTAGCAAATTTAAAGACTATAAGTATAATGCGAATACACGTCCAATACATACACATATACATACATGCACAATTTTTTACAGAAACACACTTACATAAAGCTACATGTCACACAGTAGCTACAAATATAACTACAATAAACGAACACGTATTTCCGTAAATTTTTTTCTCTTTTATTAAATCCTAGCCTCAATATTACATAGTTATAGAAGAATGGTAATATAACGTAAGTATAGTAGCCATTTTCAATAATAACAAATAATGTTACGAATAATGACGACAACATCAACGGTAATGATAATGGTTGTGTTGGTGGTATATTAATGATGATGATGATTTTTTTAATTTGATCAATTAAATCCATATAAGATTGTTATGATGACCCATGTAGAAAAATTTTATTTGGTTCTTTCCAAATTTTTGTAAAGTCGTCCATGCCCAAAAATGATTCTGCATAAAGTTTGAGAAATTTGTCAAACATTTGAATTATGAAAGGAATTTAAAAATTTAACAAAAAATAATGCATGAAATCAAATTGGATTGGTCATGCATAAACTATGGCAAAAACAATGCATAAACTTTTGCAAAAACCATGCATAAACTTTTGCAAAAACCATTCATAAACTTTTTGACAAATCATGCATAAATTTTGGCAAATTTGCCATGGTATTTATTATATCTCTTAACATTTTTTACACAACTTTTCATGTACTAGAATTTCATCTTTATTAATCCATACAATATACAAAAACTCCACTGTAAGTGTTTTTAATACACTATTTTTTTTCATAATAATTAGGAGGAATATAAATAAAACTTTCAACAGCGGATACAACGTATAGACAATAGGTACCTCGGATAGGTACAATAGTGTTTGATGAATCAATTTTATCTTTAGGGAAATATGGGCAAAGAAACATTTTCCATCATGTCAGTTGATTCTCATTTTTTTCGTCACATTGAGAACGACTTTGTCCTTCGATTCGATAAGTAATTGAGTCATCGTGCGAGATATTGTGGGTTTGTCAATCGACATCCATTCTTTGTTGGTTTTTCCAGATCATTCATTTTTTTTTTCGTTGACTTTCGACGTATTCTACAACGTATTCTGAAACGAACATTAGTTACTAAATACATATGAAATAATAAATATTGCACTCACTAATGATAGTATCAACAGCTCTCTGATGCAGTCTTGGCTTATTTTTGGTCTTGCTTTCGTCTTCGTCTCCACTCTCGTTCGACTTTTCGTCGCTCTCTTTCTTTTTTCCTCTTCCTCTTAATACGCATTGCTCTAATGCTTCTTTTTTAAAGATGATTTTCATCAAACCTCGAGCTAAATTTGTAGGTTTTGCTGACGTTCTCTTGATATTGCTGAGAGAAGATTTCGTGACGTAAATGCCAGATTTTTTTCGCAATTCGCGTAACTAAAAATTAGAGAAAAGACATATTTTTATTCACATAAAGGAAATATGCGTTTATTGATAATTATGCGTTATTTTATTATTATTATTATGTATTATTTGTTTATTGTTAATTATGCGTTTACCTCATTCTTTTTATCGTTCTCTTTGTCAACTGTAGTAAGTATTAGAGTCCAATCGTCCGCGTAATCCGAAAGACTCAATTTACCTTGAATAACTGAACTACTGCCTTTTTGATCTTTGTATATAGTATTAACTTCACCCTCGACTTCACTACGGTTTGGCATGACATTAATTTCCTAATTATAAATAATAATTTCATAAAATTCGCAATACTTTCCTATTATTTTTCTTATACTTTCCTATATTATTTTATTTGATTTTCTTTATCTGAGTCTTCGCCTGATTCTTCGTCTGACAAGAACGAATAGTGAACCAGCCCGTGCGCCCTTTTTTTCTGACCAATTTTGCGTATTGTCTACAGTTCGAAAGCTCAGTAAATCAATAGTCGTAAGCTCATATGTACAAAACATACACTGTATACTGTGCTATACTTACTTCTAAATCATCGTCTGAAAAAATCGATTCATGATCATGATCTCTGAAATCAAATGAGCTAGGCGAGCTAGTACCATCGCTGAAATCCATATCGTCCGATACACTGACATGATCTTTTTCGGTAATGGCAGGATTTTCTTCTTCGATTGGCATACTATATGATCGTCTTCGTATGTCGTGGCTTTTCGACGTATTACTTTCAATTTCTGGCTGATGAGTAGTCTTTCTAGTGCTTTCACATCGCAAACACAATATACTTTTCAATTCATCAATACTCTAGAAAAATATAAAAATATAATTTATTAATTCAATAAATATCAAACTATCTTGACTATTATTTACCTCTGATAAAAGAGACAAAGTTTTACGAGCCGCTGCAATATGAGTTTCAGCCTTGGAAATAGATTCGTTGATTTTATCCAAGTCGCTGCATGATGATAAGGTCTTGCAAATCTTCGACGTTTGTAGAGCTGTACTGTCTTTTATGTCCGGGCCTATCTTCCGGCCTAATTCCTTCAGAATCTGTGTATCAACCAATGATTCGATTCTTGCATTTATTCGATTTTCCTCATTAACCTAAAATTAGTAAATTATCCAGCGCGTTTCTCGCAACAACGTAGAACATTCCTCTCACACCGATTAAATTATGCGCCGATAAGTTTCGACATTAGACGATTCAGTATATAAATAAATACATGATTATCTCGTTCAGCGCCGATAACCACCCGCGTTTCATAAATTCCAAAAAGCATAAAATAAATATTCTCATACAGTACACTGAAATTATTTATAAATTTTTACGTTATTTGATGCACTCTTTTTAACCTTCCCCCGGTCGCCGATGGTGGTCTTTTCACTCTTACAATCGGTCTTAGTTTCAGGACGTCTTGCTTTTTGGTTACGCTTTTCTTTGCTCGGTGAATACTTAGCATTGTTCGCCTTTTTTTCTCAGCCACGCGCGCTTCCATCAAGTCCAGAAGGTTGTTCATCTGTCGCTGGAGGTTCATCATCTATCGCGTAAAATAAATTCGAATGAAAAAATTATGTATGATGAATTAAGGTAATAAAGCAACTTACTTGAAAATTCCAATATTTTCCCTTTATAAACGCGAGGATTTTTACCACCGCTTGGCCACAAAAAAGTAATACAAGAATTTTTTGATAATGCTGTATTTGAATCGTCAAACAGAATATCTTTCTTGTAAATCAAGCACATTTAACCATCATCATAGTCTATTAAATATTGGGTTTTAGACATTTTTATTAAAGTTAGACTTGTCAG